ATTGATAAAAATATGTATATGTAAATTTATTTAATGTTCATGTTAAATATGTTGTACACTTCCAAAATATACAACATATAAATAAATTTCTTTTACTATATTATTCTCAGTACCCAAAACGAAAAAAAAAATTAAAAACAACAACCATCATTCCACATTTGTGCGGAGCATTCTCCGCGCGCTGTGCAAAAAAATAAATAAATAAAATACGTCTCCGCACACTGCAGAGTGCAGAGCATATGTTTCTTTTCCAAACACATTTTTTTCCCTTTTTTACTACTTTATTTATTTATTATAACCTCATCTTTTTTTTTTTTTCAAATACTTTAGTTATTATAACCTTATCTCCTTTACCCCCACACAATCCTATCCTTATCTTCATTTCTATCCTTCTCCTCCATCACTTTTCCTTCATTTCAATTCACATATTTCTCCATCACTTCCTATGTCTACACCACCACCACCAACAAAGAAATCAACACCATCATCTACCGTATCAACCAAAAGGTAAACATTTAATCTTTTCACTTAAATTATTTTCTATTCAACTAATGACATTTTTTTTAGTTTAATATTAATTGTTTAATTATTACATTTAGTTACAAAAAATCTACCTGCAAACTACATCACTAAAAGAAATAGGCACCACTTATTTCAAATATTTATGTGGGAAATTACTACCAAACAAAAAATTCATAACAAATCACTTTCATTAAGGGCAAGTCTTCGTTGTTGATTGTTTTCCCCCAATTTTCCTTTTAAGTTATCTTTACAATACATTTTAGACTTTTTCACATCCTCCAGATACTATGCCTAACATAATATTTTAACACTTTTAAATCAACAATAACATATTATTTAAGCTATTTTGTTTTAGTAAAAAATAACTAAAAAGAAAACAATTTAAATCGAAAACACCACTTAAGTGTTATTCCTCGAATAACACGTTATTTTAATTATTTAAATGTTATTCGTCAAATAACATATTATTTAGCCCCCTGTTTTTTTCCCTCTATTAACCATTATATTTGATTCATTATTTCTTATTTCTCAAATTCAATATATGTACATCTTTTTTATTCACAACTCTCATTTTCTACTATTGATTTTTTTCTATAGATGTCTTTAGAATATATATTGTCTCCAAATCAATGGTTCTCTTCTACAATAACTCAGTATCCGAATATTCAGTACATGAAAGATTTCATTGAGCTTCTGAATGCAAATGACCAAGCATCTCTGATGTCTACCAATTTCAATGAATTTATATATGAAATTATTTATAGAAAAGAAGCTAAGCAACAGTTTAGCAGCAAATTAATTCACGAGTTTATAATGAGACTCATCAATTGTGGTAAAGACAATGAACTATGGATAAAACTTGATGACCACTTGGCCCGCTTCAGTCTTCAAGAGTTTTGTCTTAGCACTGGTTTGCCTTGTCATGAATCTATAAATCTTGATTTCAGCAGTAATCGACTTTGAAATCAATACTTCAATGGTACAAAAAGAATTACTATGCGAATACTTCTCGACGTATTCCATTTATGCGACCATCAGGAAGACAAATGTAAGCTTGGACTTGTGATGTTGGTAGAATGTATTCTGAAACCTACTAAATGATATGTCGATTATAGAACTCTTGGTATAGTTGAAAACCTTCAAGACTTCCTTCAATATCCATGGGGTCGTAAAGCATATTTTGTTTTGTTTAACTCCCTGCGACAACCCCAACTAGAACGAATACAAAGAATGCAAGAAAATGGCCAAAATGAATGTAAATACTCATTACATGGATATTCTCTTGCATTCCAGGTACTTTTCGCCCATTTTTTTATTGCTCGTCAATTTATATATTATTTAATTTACTTGTACAAATCGCCTATGGCTAATATTTATTTTTAATTATCTTTCAGCATTGGATATATGAAGCTTTTCCATAGATTGGTCGGAAATTCGGACGCTATAGACATACAACATTACAATGTCCAATAATGCACAAATGGAGGCCAAAGACAGTATTATCAAAAAAAACAATTCAGCAATTCTTAGATACACGAGAGGTAATTTTTTTATTTACTTATATTCATTTGCTACATACCATTATTCACTTAATTATATTTTTGTTTTTCACAAAGAAAAATTATAATAACTTATGAAATTGTTTCATTATAATTACATATTGAAGAACTTGCAATACTAAAGCCTACGGAAGAAGAATTACAGACACCGTGGTATGCAACTCTTTCGTTGCCACAAGATAACTACCACAATATACTTGATGGCATTCTTTCTGGAGAATTACACAATGTGCCTCCACAAACCCAGGAAAATACTAATAACATGCCAACCGGGCCTGGTACTTCAAGAACATCTATTGAAACTAAAGCTGGCCCAAGTTCTATCTACATTGGTTCTAACTATGTCACTAAAGAAGAACTTGAACATATGCTAAATATACAAAAAAGAGCATATAGTGTCAGATGTCTCAGGTATGTGTGATACTTTATTTGCCTCATGCATTTCGGAGCAATCAAGAAGACAAGAAATGCAGTATCAAACACTTCTTGACAACCAACAACAGTTCTTCCAACAACAATAATAATGGCAAGAAGAACATTACCGAGGCATACAATCTAGCATGCAACATTATGTGGATAACAGTTTCAATTCAGTACGATCTCACATCAACGAACAAAATAACAACATACTGAACTAATTATCCGATTGAAAATCAAATATGGAAGCTGCTATAGGTTCCCTTCAACAAGATGTTCCTGTTCATAGGAGCCCTATTTTATTACATATCTCGACATCTCAACAAACTGAAAATGTTACAAGATTGTCAAAAGAACAGAAAACTAAAGGAAAAAAGACAAAGCCACCAACAAACTATCCTTTAAAAGACTATTCTATTGCCATATATAAAACAATTAGAGATTGGGTGTTGCAAAATCCATCAGAGCAATTAATCTACTTCTATTTCATTACCTTAAATATTATTATTTTACTTTCATTTATGTCAAACTAAATTAAATTATTTTCTATAGTGCATATTCGGAAATTGGACCCAATAATTACCAAGGAAGAGAATTCATAAAAGCTACAATGGACATAACACAAATTATCATTGTTCCGGTAAGTAAAATTCATTCATCATAATATATTACATTCTTATATATAATTTACGTCCATTTTTTTTATTATAGTCTTGAATTAGAATTGAAATTATTACGCCGACTCATCAACGACGACTCTACACCCGTATCAAAAGATTATGTAATTCTAGACTTCAACTACGAGAATGAATGTAATAATCATATGATGTTGCAAGCTGAAATCTACAAAGAATGTACTATTAGAATTTCAGGGAATCTAGCCACTTTACAAAATTATGTAAATGGCACTCTTCCAATTGATGGTCGTCCGTGGATAAGATGCAAATATCTATTAATTCCGTGTTCATTACTGGGCAACAATTGGTACATCTATCACGTAAATATCCCTGAATGAAAATTCGAAATCTATGACTGTCGGAACAATGTACATACGCCAGACCTGATCAGAGCCCATTCAAATGCAGTCAAAGACTTAACTGCAGTCTTGCTAAACGCACCAGAATTTTTTGCTTACAGACGCTACGTGAAGAAAACTGCAAACACATCTATAGATGTAGACATTATACCATATCAACCAT